CCTCAGCACTCTACCCAGGGTGACGGCTTGAGGCTCTGTCTCAAAAAAAAAAAAAAGAAAAGAAAGTGAAGGACTAAATTATACTTAAAGGCTATTTGATACATCTGAAATTACAGAATTTTTTTTTTCCTTTTACTGTTGTGGTACCTGGCACTATTTTTTTTATTAGCTTCTGATAATCATCTGGAAAGACAACATTCTAGAGTAACATCATTAAAAACAGTTCTGATAGGCTCCACTGCCTGTGGCTCAAATGGCTAAGGTGCCAGCCACTGTGTTGCTGTGAGCTGTGATGCCATGGCACTCTACCCAGGGGACAGCTTGAGGCTCTGTCTAAAAAAAAAAAAAAAACAGCTCTGATAAAGCACGATCACTACTACGTATCATAAAGCAGGTATAAGATATTTTACATTCACAGAGGTATTATACAGTACTGTCCTACATCTGTAATACTAGAGGATACAATTAAAAAGGCATTATTTGAGGGCGGCGCCTGTGGCTCAAAGGAGTAGGGTGCTGGCCCCATATGCTGGACGTGGCAGGTTCAAACTCAGCCCTGGCCAAAAACTGCATTAAAAAAAAAAAAAGCATTATTTGAGACTTGATTCTACTTTTCCAGCAGAGGGCCCAAAGGATGGTATGACACAACTCTGTAAAGAAATGCATCTTTTTAGATAGGATTTTCCTTCATTCGCGGCACAGTTCTAGGTATTCACTACTGTTCATAAACATCAGCTAAAAACCGTTAAAAAACAAAAACAAATGGGAGGGGGAAGGAGGGAAAGAACCACTAGACTCATACAAAGATGACTGAGTGGAGGCAAGCAAGACTCAACCTTACTAGTATTTTACCAGACCTGTCATGTTTGAATGGTGAGAGCTCCATGGGAAGAAAGGAGATGCCAAGTAGCACTTCAAAGCTTTGGACCACAACCAAAACAACACAGCATCATTTCAAACAGAAGCAGTAGCCAAATATTGCTCACTTGGATATGGTTCAAGGATGCTGGCATCAATACTTAATCTTCTGTTCACTCATCCAGGAATGAAATTACAGAATTTATCACAAAGCTAATGTAGCTGAAAAAATGTCATAAAAGAAAAATATATTCAAAGAGGTTCATAAGTGTTTAAAATAAAAAAGGATGGGCTCAGTGCCCACAGGACAGTGGTTAAGGTGCCGGCGACATACACCGACATAAACCTAGCCCAGGCTAGCTAAACAACAATGACAACTGCAAAGGAAAAATAGCAGAGCATTGTGGCGGACACCTATAGTCCCAGCTACTTGGGAGGCTGAGGTAAGAGAATCCCTTAAGCCTAAGAGTTGGAGGTTGATATGAGCTGTGATGCCACAGCACTCTACCTAGGGTAACATGGTGAGACTCTGTCTCAAAAATAATAATAATAATAAATAATAAATAATAAAATAAAATAAAGGATGCTTTGAGTTATGTTTATAACTAGGAAGAACTAACCTTTCCTCTCACACATAATGCCCCTTGCCAAGAATAAAGGGATCACAGGGCTCATATTGTTTACCTTATATTGCTATTGATGTATTAGAACTACAGTTTGTTTTTTATCTCATGTTACTTAAGAAAGAAAACAAAAAAAACTCTGGCCAGGCACATAATCTTAGTACTCTGGGAGGCCAAGGCAAGTGGAGTGCTTCAACTCATGTGTTTGAGACCAGCCTGAGCAAGCAAGTCTCCCATCTCTCCTACAAATAGAAGAAAACAAAAACTAGCTGGGTATAGTCAGACATGCCTGTAGTACCAGCTGTGTGGGAGGCTGAGGGAAGAGGATTACTCAAGCCCAAGAGTTTGAGGTTGCTGTGAGATATGACACTACAGCACTGTATCTAGGGTGGTAAAGTAAAACTGTCTCAAAAAAAAAATCCAAATTTACTCCAGATTAAAACAGTCTTTATTTATAGATGATATGGGTCTTATACATATAGATAATCCTTAGGAATACCCCCCTACACACACACACAAAAACCTACTAGATTATGAGTCCAGCAAGGTAGAAGAAATCTGACTATTCACTTATTTCTACACACTGGCAATCAACAATCTGAATATGAAAACAAGAAAACAATTCAACTTACAGTAGCACCAAAGGAACAAAATATGTCACAGACAAATTTAACCAAAAAAGGGCAAGAATAATTAAAACTGGCTCGGCGCCTATGGCTCAAGTGGCTAAGGTGCCAGCCACATACACCTAAGGTGGTGGGTT